GGGGACAGAATAGTCGTTACATGGTCTTCTGCAAAGACATCCCCTCCCGAGACACCGGCTGCCTCGTGCTAGGACAGGTGTCACCTGGCTGGCACCCTTCTGAGGGCGGAGGGAGTGAGCCTCAATGTCTAGGTGAGCCCACGTCAAGGACCTTGTCTGGACATCGCACACCCTGATCCCACCTTCTCCAGCTGTGTGGCATCGAGCAAGCGACACTACCTCTCTGAGCCTTAGCTTCCCCTCTGCAGAATGGGGCAGTCACCCCCCCCCGCCCCGCCCCCGCCCCGGCACACTAGCATGTCCCAGGCGAGCTAGCCCGTCAGCGGAGGTCCACGCAGGCACCCGACGCACCCACAGCACCCACACACCTGCTGAGCTTCTCGGGCCAGGGGCGCCGTGGGAGCAGAGGGTGGTCTGCAAGCCTCGGCTTCGGCAGGCATCCAGGGCGCCCTCCCCGGGCAGGGCCAGTGGCTCATCGTGAAGCTGGCTCAGGGCGTCCTTGAGGAAGACACAAGGAGGGAGCTGGGAGGATGCTTCCTCCAACCACTCGGGAGGGAGCCGGGTCCCCGGCTGAGAGCAGAGGGCACCAGGCCTGACCCCGGCCCCAGTGCCCTTGGTCCGAAGGCCAACCCCCCTCCTATTGGCAAGACTCAGTTCAGCAGACGAGGTGTGGCACTCGGTTCTCCGAGGAGTGTCTGTCCGGCCAAGATGCCCCCGGGCTCCCTAGAGTGGCACCACAGGCTCCCAGTCCCCTCTCCTTCCCGAAGGTCCTCTGTGTCCCCCCAGCAGAGGCAGGTGCCTGCCCGGGGGCCCCAGGCAGTCCTGTCCTTCAACCGTCAATAAGTCCCAAATGCTGCAGCCAAGGGTCTCCAGGGGACACCCTTCCCCTTGGCCTCTCCCAAACGGCAAGCCACCTGTGCGGACAGAGCTTCCCTGAGCAGGCACCCGCCCTGCAGGGCATCGTGCAGACACAGCCCAGCGCCGATCCACCATCCACGAGGGGCTGGGGACGGGCCCCCTCCGTCTTCCCACAGCCCCCACTACTTGGAACCAGGTTCTAATGGGCGCTGTTCGCTTCTGCCCCTGCTTCCCCACTAGACCTTGAGTCCTTCAAGCCTTCCACTTGGCCTCATGTGGTTGGCACCCTCACCTTGGCCTGGCACACATTAGGTGCTTAATAAATGTTTGATAGATGGATGGGCAGAACTTGCAGAAAGACAGGTATGCAGCACTTATTCAGCAAACACTTACTAGGCTCCGACTGTGTGTCCGGTGCTATTCTAGGTGCAGGGGTAACAGAGAAGAACAGGTAACATCGTCCCCCTGTCCCCTGTCCCCTGGCTGCTCACCTGCTCTCAGCAGAGCCCTGCATCGACACGTAGCCAGGCCTCCTGTCCCCCCACATCCCACTCACAGTGCCAGGGACCCCCTAGCTTGCACTCTCACACCTACAAGGCCTCCCGTGGCTCCCCCTCCCCAGGCTGGGATCAGTTCAAGGCTGCCATAAGGCACTGTCGGGGTGGGGGCAGGGGGGCTGATACTCCTCACCCTGGTTTCTGCTCACGGTGGCCTCCCCGCCCCTCCCCAGCCAGCTTCTTGCCTGCCTCTGCACATCCGCATATGCTGTTCCTTCTGCCTGGCTACACGTCTTCCTAGGAAGGACGGGGGTTGCCCGCACCTCTCTCTCTGCCCCTCCCTGCACACCCTGCTCAGCAGTGGAGCCATCCCGGTGAGATGGAAACCAGATCAGGTTGCTCTCCTGTCTCGGATGTCCCACGCTTCCCGCTGTGCAGAAAGAGGAAACCGCTGCCCGGGCCCCACTGCCCCCACCCTCACTCTGCTCCTTAAAGGGACCCTTCTCCCCGCAACCCTGCCTCAGAGCCCTGCACCCCTAGTGTCTGCTGCCTGCCTCTCTTCCCACCCCTCTGCCTGGCTAACCTGCTCTTCTCTGGGCTCCGCGTAAAGGCCAGATCTTCAAAGAGGGCTTCCCTGGCCCTCCCCCAAATCAAGTCCCTTCCCTCCCTCAAGCATCTTCCGCTCACTCTCTGGGTTTGGGACCTCCCGGCTGTCTGTGTGATGTCACGTCCAGCGTCCTCACAGACCAGGCACCTCAACCCTGGCTGCACCTTAGAATCGCCCGGGGGCTTTGCCACAGAGCAGGGCCTCGGCCCAAAGCCCCCAAAGCCAGAGGGGCCTGGGCGCCGGCCTCGTGTTCCGCATGTGGGGTTTTGATTTCATCAAAATCACCACCAGAAAGAGGGGGAGAAGAGGAAACGGAGGAGAGAGGAGGTCGTGAGAAGAAGAGGAGGGAGCAGGATGGACAAAGGGAGACAGAGGCTCCACGTGGAGGGGAGCAAGAGAGCGATGGCAAGGAGGAGGGAAGAAGGGAGGAGGGAGAGCCGGGAGGGCAGCGTCGAAGGCCAGCACCGCAGCTCTGTTTGCTTCTGTTTGGGTTTCGTTCCGATACCCAAGTTGACTTCAATTCGGTTCAACAAATACTTGCCGAGCCTCAGCTAAGTGACACCCTGTTCTGGAGCTGGGGACACCACTGCGGATAAAACACACAGACCCCCCGCCTCCGGGAGGCGACTTGGTGGGGCAGGGGGACATCCTAGAAGAAGGTGCTACACGCCCTTCATTTCACAAGTGACCAAACCACTACTCAGAGAGGGACAGTGGCCGGTCCAAGGTCACACAGCACACACGGAGGGAGAACAGAACCAGAGCTCGGGTCTTGAACTGGGTCCGGGCTTTCTCTGCCCTTCCCCGCCTCCCGACCCCCGCTCAGTCTTGTCAACCCTTCCTGCCTTTCGGTGCTCGGGGGGGGCAGCGGCCCCCAGTTTTACGTGGCTTCAGCTTTCACATGCAATTATGGGGAAAGATAAGCAAAAAAGAGGAAAATGAGGAATACAGAGCTATCCGGACACAAACACGATCAGTGTGTCAGGATATATCCACCTGGGTTTTCTTCTATGCAGAGACACTTAAGTTCTTTCAAAAGTCCGTTTCTACAAAATGCCCATTTTTGCCGCATGCATTTCTCATTTGATGATACGGAAGGATCATCTCCCCACAAGTTCTCCTATAACGTGGTGTTTTACGGCTGCCTCATAACCTCTGACAGAAGGGATGCCTTCACTTACCAAGTCAGGGCCTTCTAATTGTACGTTTAGGTTGTTTCCGATTTTCATCAACTATAAACCGCACTGGGGCACTTTTACTATTTGACCAATATTCAGAATAAAATGGGACCTTGAGCTTTTGTGTATGTGTATTTATTCTGTAACTAATGGACTTGATCTTTCTGTGGAAGACCACTACACATTCGTCTTTCCTTTTGTGTTACTTGCATGTCCGTGGCTCTGCTGTGTTTTATTTTTTGACCCTGCCGGCCCACGCTTTAAAGCCCTTGCTGACTACTGGAGTCCCAAGTATGCAATACAGACTTCTGCACAAGTGAGAGCCAGAGCAGGGAGGGGGCTGCCTGGAATTTGAACTTGCTGCACAATGAAACGATTCCTGTAAACGCCACCAGGGGGCGCTCTACCCACACTGCCGGGGCAGAGACGTTCTGGGAGCTTCCCACATTCTTGATGCTGGGGTCACCAGGAGCTTGATCTCTGCTCTGGCATGACATTTTTAAGTGTGTAAGTTTTCATCTCCCTGCACAAGCCCTCCCTCTAGTCCAGACCACAGCCCCTGGGCTGTCCCCTGCTGTAGCAGTCTATGGCCCAGGTCTCCCCTACCTGCCCCTGTGTCTGTCTCACCTATAAAATTTCAAAGAGCAGGGTCACCCTTCCAGCCCCGGTGCCCCTTCTTGTCTTGCAAACCACAGTCCTTTTAACTTTCCTCTCACCCGTGCCCTGAACAGAAACGTTCTCCCCAAACTCCTCCCCAGGCCATGGTTTGTCATTGCAGTGGCCCGTCCCTTCAGGGACCTGGGCCCCAAGGCATTTGTTCTGGAAACTGGATGGTGTGTGATCCCAGGCCAGTGGCGTGCCTTCTCTGGACTGTGAGGCTGGGTACAAGGACAGGGGGATTCCTGCCTGGCTACCTCCCAGCGCTGATGAGGTCCTGCTTGGAAAAGCGCTTGTAAATACGAAGCAAATAAAGCACCTTCCCGTGACGGTTCACTTCACCATGACCCAGGACGCCCAGGGCACATCACAGGTAACCACCGGGCTGTTGAGGGGGTGGCTCCCCGATGACGGGTAACTTTTTATCTCATGTGCTTCCCCGGAGCTGGACGACACCCGGGGTTCCCAGTGCACTGCCGTTGTGAGGCCGTCCCTCCGGCCGGGATTTTCCATTCTCCATGGGCAGCAGAGCAAATCTCTTTTCGTGGTCGCTTGCCCACTGAACCGCTAGCTTGCCAAGCACCTCCCGGCCATGGTCAGGGCCCGGGGTTCAGGGCTGTCTCAGACGAGGAGCAAACACCAGCCAGGCCCTGCACAGTGAGAATTAGGGCCTCCAGAAGTGGGTCATGGCACTACCGGGGCACTGAGGAGCGAATGAGCTGGAGGTCAGGAAAGTCTTCTTGGAGGAAGTGGTATTCCCACTGAATGGAGAGAGGGTAGCAAGGGTTTTTAGAGCAGCCGAGGAGAGCAGGTGGTAGGAGCTTCCAGAAGCAGGGAAGGCTGCAGGCTGCAGAAGCTTCTAGACACAGGGAAGG